AACAGGACAGTGTAAGTAGGATACATAGTGGGTACCAATACAATACAGTAGAACGTGTTGGTAAACAGGACAGTGTAAGTAGGATACATAGTGGGTACCAATACAATACAGTAGAACGTGTTGGTAAACAGGACAGTGTAAGTAGGATACATAGTGGGTACCAATACAATACACTAGAACGTGTTGATAAACAGGACAGAAGTAATTAGGTCACTTAGATAACAGTTATAAAGTTAACAGGAATGTGGCAATTGGAACACACAAACAGCAAGAACACGGCTACTGATTGTAAACACAGATCGAGTAGGACACATAGTAAATAAAAGTAAACAGTACATCACCATAATAAGATCAGTATGAACTGAACCTGTATAAAACCAGGATAGGGTAAGATTGTTAACCAGAACATGTAGGTAGCAGGACAGAATAATCAAGATAAATGGAAAACACAAGTTGCAAGGACAGTGGAACCAGGACACACAAGATTAGTGGATAGAGTAAGAAACGTGGACTGCAACAACCGAACACGCACACATAGAAAAGGGCAATGGCAATGTAGCACTTGGATAACGTGTTGCAGTGTACGACAAAACCACAGCATACTGAATGCACGTATATAGTAAATAGAACACCTAGATAATGTGTTGCAGTGTACAACAAAACCACAGCATACTGAATGCACGTATATAGTAAATAGAACACCTAGATAACGTGTTGCAGTGTACAATAAAACCACAGCATACTGAATGCACGTATATAGTAAATAGAACACCTAGATAACGTGTTGCAGTGTACAACAAAACCACAGCATACTGAATGCACGTATATAGTAAATAGAACACCTAGATAACGTGTTGCAGTGTACAATAAAACCACAGCATACTGAATGCACGTGTATAGGAAATAGAACACCTGGGTAACGTGTTGCAGTGTACAACAAAACCACAGCATACTGAATGCACGTATATAGTAAATAGAACACCTAGATAACGTGTTGCAGTGTACAACAAAACCACAGCATACTGAATGCACGTATATAGTAAATAGAACACCTAGATAACGTGTTGCAGTGTACAACAAGATCCAGAGCATACTGAATGCACGTATATAGTAAATAGAACACCTAGATAACGTGTTGCAGTATACAATAAAACCACAGCATACTGAATGCACGTGTATAGGAAATAGAACACCTAGATAATGTGTTGCAGTGTACAACAAAACCACAGCATACTGAATGCACGTATATAGTAAATAGAACACCTAGATAATGTGTTGCAGTGTACAACAAAACCACAGCATACTGAATGCACGTGTATAGGAAATAGAACACCTAGATAACGTGTTGCAGTGTACAACAAAACCACAGCATACTGAATGCACGTGTATAGGAAATAGAACACCTAGATAACGTGTTGCAGTGTACAACAGAACCACAGCATACTGAATGCACGTATATAGGAAATAGAACACCTAGATAACGTGTTGCAGTGTACAAGAAGATCTAATGCATACTGAACACGCATATAAAAAAATAGAACACCTGGATAATGGGTTGCAGTGTATAAAAAGATCCACAGAACGCGAAACACACACATATAAATAGCAATTAAGACAACTGACTAATGTGTTGCAGTATATAACAAGATACAAAGCATACCGAACACATGTATAGCAAAGAGGGCAGACACTTGGTTGACTTATTGTAATGTATATCATGAAACATAGCATCCATAACATACACACATATAACAGTTAAGACACCTGACTAATGTGTTGCAGTATATAACAAGATACAAATCATACCGAACACATGTATAGCAAAGAGGACAGACACCTGGTTGACGTGTTGTAATGTATACCATGAAACACAGGCATCCATAACATACACACATGTAACAGTTAAGACACCTGACTAATGTGTTGCAGTGTATAACAAGATGTTATACCGAACACATATATAGCAAATAAGACACCTGGTAATAAGATGCAGAACACGTGAAGTATAAATAGCAGTGTCAGATACATCAGGACACCAGAATACTGCGTTACAACATACAACACCAAGTGATTCCTGATAAGGTGTAAGCAATATTAAAAGAGCTTTTGGAGTGAAGGGGGAAAATTTAATGTTTTGTTTTTTCTTTGTTGGTGTTAAAAGAAAGCGTAGGTTTTAAAAGATCTGTTATATGAGTTTTTGTAGCCATTATACGTTTATATCTGTGGTGTTTTTTCTTCCTGTACAGCTGTTAATAGATTCTTTGCAGTAAACTATGTTGGTAGTTATTTGATTACTGAATATCAAAGATTTGGGAATTGTAATCGTATTCATGGTGCCTATAGCCTGTTTTTTCTTCTTCTTTACATTTTTAAGACTCCAGGTATTGTGTTGGGTGAACTAGTTTTAGAGATAAACTATTACTACTGTATTTTTATAATCTAATTTGATGTTTAGAATAGGAATACTCGGTTGGTTTGACTTTTAAAACAAAAACTGTGGGCTGGAATGGAGATGCCCATAAACAATTTGTTAAAAATTAGCTATGCCACAAATAAAACAACAAAATTAGTATTCTTCCTATTCATTCCCTATACGTTTTCAAACTTTGTAAGATATAGTTTTATTCATTCCCTATACGTTTTCAAACTTTGTAAGATATAGTTTTATTCATTCCCTATACGTTTTCAAACTTTGTAAGATATAGTTTTATTCATTCCCTATACGTTTTCAAACTTTGTAAGATATAGTTTTAAATGTTAAAGGTTTTATTTTACCAAATAAAATGATGTTGTTCTATGTTTCAGTTTAAGAATTATCTTACTGGCTGAAATACCAGTTAACATATTAGGTTAATGAAACCATATATTTTAACGTGGTACTTTAGCCTGTAACTTCCTTTTTACATTAATATATCCACGTTTTAAATTACATTAAAACAATATTCCTTTGATGGTTACAATGTGTTTGACTATCTGAATAGTTACAGATACAACACTTAAGGCCCCATTGTTGTCGTAGACACGCTTATGAACATGTAAAACAATACTGAATTGTCTGGAATAATTTTATTAGCTTTAGAGTTATCCATTTGCCAATCCAAACATCTCTCTGGCTTTTCAATTGTATCTAGCAAAATCACGGGATACGACAGAAAAGCCAGAGCGATGTTCCTGTTGATCTAGTATTCATATAACACCGAACTTGTACTTGGTGTGTTCAGAAGTTAGATAGCAGGCACTGTAAGTAACACATTACGATTTCAATCGTAACACCTGTTTTTTTTTTTACATATTCTATCAAAATAGTCTGGTTGACGTTGGACTGAAGAGGACACGTGAAACTTGTGTCCATATAAATTTGTTGTTGTTCCGTAATAATGGATTCAAACTTTATTTTATATAGATAATATTTATGTTTATCACCGTATTTTCTATACACCTTATTCTTTTGTGTAACCATACCCTATCTTGTTCTATTAGAATGACTAGCTATTTCTGCTTCTTGCTGTATAACTGAGTAGTTTTGTAAAAAAAAATATTACATTCCAGGTATCAGTGATTTGTTTCTAGCTTGCACAAATCCCTAGTCCTTTGAAATATTACATAAATTGTGTTGTGCGGAGAATACTGTTAGCCTATCTCATATGTATGACTTCCGGCATTCTCCACAAATATGGTCGGTTGCTTTTTGTTTTTCTATAAGAAGAGTTTCCACGTGCTTGTTTTTCTGTCTATTTACTTATGTACTTATTTACCTGTACCACCTAGATCTAGTAGAGTTTTAATTCCAAAGTTAATATTACAATTTGATTAAACTATTGTAAAATTAATTTTTCCTCAGAGCATCTCAGTGGTACTGGGAAGCACCAAAGCCTTTAATCAAAAGGATTAACATAATGCTCTGATTTGATCGGCACGTAATTCATTAATTAAAAGTGATATTTTCGGTGTGTTGCTTATCGTGTTTACTTTTTTCTTGTATAGAACGTAGCTGTAACCAAGGTGACCTTGAATGGCCTAGACGATGGCCCAAGAGAGGTACTTTGTCCACCGTCGACTACTACTCTAAGTACTCAGCTTTCAGATACCGTGGACAATGGTTGCACTCGAGAGTTGAACGGTAATATCCTCGTGGAAGATACCATCTTCGCCGGACAGATTCCTCCTCCGCCTCCACCACCAAGGACCAGCTCCAGTCAAAATCACTTGGATACCTATCTCAAAAAGCTTAGTAAATCGAGTAAGTTGTATAAAGATTATAAGAAGTGATAAGCTAATACATATGAAATACATTATTTTTAAAATCTTTTATCTTTACTGCCTTCTCATTAAACAGGGTTTTACATAAAAGTCCACTTTTTATATCTGAAAAAAAGGTATCCTTAATGATATTAGTATCATGATACATAACATAAGGTCTCTATGAAAGTAATCCATTCAGCTTTTGATCTTAACGTTCAGTATCACGATACATAAATTCTATATGAAACAGGTGGAGATATTAAAGTAATCCATTCAGCTTTTGATCTTAACGTTCAGTATCACGATACATAACTTCTATATGAAACAGGTGGATATATTAAAGTAATCCATTCAGCTTTTGATCTTAACGTTCAATGTTTATTGAACTAGCTCCAGCTCCTCTCTCAGTGCTGTCTTCCGGTTATCTGAACAGATAAAAACGCAATTGTGTTCGGCATATAGCAAGTTACTAGAAACTTCATGTAATGTATACCAAATATAACATAGGACGACAGACGATCTTGTCGTATATCGACCAAGGTAGAGAGATATATATTGTAGTCTTTTTCTTTAGACTTTAAGTTTAACATAACTGTTGTGTTTTATTTTTGAACATTTAGTTACAAAGCAGCATATATTGAGATGGGTTTATGCTTTGTGATTGGTGTGTGGATAATAGCCAGTTATTTTTTTTACTGATGGATTACGTGTTTGAGAAAGAAAACTCAACACAAATGAGAAACTTTCGATGAAACAAATGCTAACTTCCCACACTTCTATAATAATCTGTATATAGAATCTTTAAACTTTTGTACCGTATCCATCAATGTCTTGTGTAATAAACCCCCTAAATGCTTAAAACACGGAGTACGATATTATCCACGTCACTATGATTCTTATATAAAGTAGTTCGGCTTTAGTTGACTTTACTTTTTTGAAATTATCGAAATTGGTGAGGTTACGTACAGAAAACCTGGGTTATTACCTAGAAGCTAAAATACGATTACTCGGTAGTTTGTGGTCGTAAAATTTAATCGTACCACTCGTACACATATAGTAATAAGTCTTATTATATCACATATGGTAATAATCCAATCGTATCACATGTAGTAATTATCTAGTCGTGCAACCAAATAACACGTAACTATTCATCAAACTTGAGCTTGTTTTTTCAGCTTGGAATATATTATGTTTGATAACTTGCAGTCTCATAAAACGTTTAAATGAAGTACAGTTTGAAGTATACATTGTCATGATATAAAAATACTGTTTGGTTTGAATTTTGGTGATTAATTTATATTTGTGAGTGAATATTTTATTATTTTTAAGTTTTGTTATAATAAGAGTTAAAAGCAGACGACGATTGTAGAAGGTTTTGTTAATAACTAATTGGTGTTGAGAGTATAGAAAGTGGCCAGACGACTATGTAATAAAGATATGAATAGCGTGAAAGCAAAGAGAATATA